TTGGGAATCACTCTGGGAGGAGCAGGAGCCTGAGACAGCGCAGGGTTGGACATGGAAGAGCTTCCCTGGGTATTGGAATAATTTGATCATAAAATGCTCGTTTTAAAAGATGCAGCTCTCTGTTTAATGGGGAGGGGCATTTGTGACTCCAGTTTCTGGTCTCTGAGGAAAAGCTGCTCAAAAACTTGAAATTAACTCTTTAATCTTTCGTAATTAATCTTACAAGTAGTTCTTTAATCACTGCTGGCAGCACAAAGACTTCCAAACTGGAACTTTCCTAGGGTTCCAGTGGGTTCATTAGGGCTTGAAAGAAAAGTGAGGGGTGCCTTTGGTGCTTTAGCTGAGATTTTGGCCGCTGAGTTGCTCATTGTGGCAGCACTGGAAGGTCTAAACTGGGCTGGACTTACTTAAATTGTAGAAAAGCATAGAAAAATATGATTTAGATTCTAAATGGGAAGAGTTTCTATTTTAGAATTACTCTTTTATGCTCTTTGTCCTCTCAGCCCTCAAAGGTTTCTTGGCTCTTATTGTTCATTCTTCAGGTGACAGTAATTGAGGGAAGGAGGACACAAGGATTTATTAGTTTCCCCTTTAATAACTAATTCCTGAATAGGTAAAAAAGTCCAAAAAGCCAAAGTCATATTTTAGAAAATGCCTTGGAAAAGCGTTTTATTCTGTTTGTGTGACATGGAATCAACCCAAACCAGCCATTCCATTGATTTCCTCAGTCCTGCTTTCTCAGGAGATTGATGTTCCCAGTCTTGCTTATTTTACCAGGAAAGCTTCAATTGCTAAAGATTCCTCAATGTTTAGGAGAAGAATAAAATCATTGAGATCCCTCTGAATTAAATGTAACTTTACAGCTGCTTTTGACAGACAGGAGAGGCTGAAATTCCAACAGGAACCAGCACAACTTCCATGAAATGTGGTTGGTCCTCTTAGAAAGGGTGGTAAAGACCCCATGGCTGGGCTGTGCTGGAGAAGAATGATTCCATGGTCTGATTTTGCTGTGTTTGAGGCAGATACAAGCAGAAGAAGGAGCTGGAGAACAAACTGGCCTCCATGAGCAGCTCCGTGGAGAGCGGGACAGCGGACGAGGATCAGATCCGGGAATTTTACATCCTCCAGATCCAGAAATGGATCGGCACCAGCCTGGAGGAGATGGAGAGCATCGAGCAGGAGCTGGTGATCCTGAAGAGCAGGGATGCAGCCAGGCAGGTGAGGGAGCTCTCCTGGGATCCAGGGCATGAGGGGATCAGTCCCAGAGGAATTCAGTGGCTGAGTTTTGTTCAGTGGCTTCCCAGCTGGAATTGAGCTCGATCACAGCATGAGCTGATGGGGTTTCCTTCATTCTCAATTCTGAGTTTTGGGCTGGGCTCTGCTGCCACACTTCCCCCACAGTCCAGCCTGTGGAATGCTGCAGCTTGGAGTATCAGAGCTGAAATAGGCTGTGCAAAGGCTTTTCTGCAGATCCTTAATTCTGAAGAACAGTTGGGTTTGGAAATTAAAACGAGACTCTTGTGGTTTCTGTCAAGCCTCCACTCCTGGTCTGCAGCCTGTCCAGGCGTTACCAGCCCATTTGGAGTGACAGAACATTCCCACAGACCTGCAGTCCCTGTGCAGAACGTTGTGTCCAGGGTTTCTGTGACCTGGGCTGTCTGCTGGGAGCAGCAGCTCCTGATGTGCTGGCACAGCCTCCCAGCAGGGCTGGTTTGAGGGGTCCTTTTTGGCACTGCAGGACTCAGCTCCTCCAAGGTGTCCACGGAATGATGGGCTCAGAATGTTCCACTGGAACAATGAACAACATTTCCTGCTCTCCTCTGAGCTCAGCCCTGGGAAAGTTCTGCTTTGACCCCAGCAGGTGGCACAGAGACACAGGAAGTAATTCCTGTACAGGCACAGTTGGAATTCCTGATTTAAACCAAATTCAGGCCTGGATTCTCCATCCTGGGGCGTTGCTCTGACAGCTGAGGTGTTTCTCTTCTGCAAGACCTTTAATAACTTCAGGATGGGAAACAGAGGGGGAGTTTTGATCCCCTCCATTCCCTGGTGACTGTTGTTTGCACCCCCAGGCTCCAGCAGGTCCCCGTGGGCCTCCCCGGCCAGCCAGGACTCCGGTGAAACCCTTCATCCTCACCCGGGATGCTGCTCAGGCCAGGTATGGGTTGGGGTGATCCAAACACACTTTGGGGCACTGCTCTAATGTCAAGCCTGAAATATTCCATCAAGTGCAGAAATGCGGGTGGTGCCTTCATGTTTGTGGCACCCTGAAATCCGTGCAGGAATTTCAGCACCTAAAGCACGAAATGGGAGAGAAACCAGATTTCCTGTCGTGCTTGGGACGTGATTCATGCTGAGCTTTCCATGTATCTGCTTCACTTCCCAGGGATGTCCTGGGGCCACCTTCCCCTATCCCAGGTTGTTCCAAGCCCTGTCCAGCCTGGCCTTGGACACTTGCAGGGATCCAGGGGCAGCCACAGCTTCTCTGGGCACCCTGTGCCGGGGCCTCACCACCCTCACAGGGAAGAATTCCATCCCAATACCCCATCTATCCCTGCCCTCTGGCAGTGGGAGCCATTCCCTGTGTCCTGTCACTCCATCTTTCTCTCAGGCACAGGAAGGTCACAATTGGGTCACCCCTCAAGCCTGCCTTGTGACATCCTTCCATCCTGAGCACAGATTGGATCATGGAATAGCCCTGTGCCTCTTGCCTGTGTTCCTGTTCATTCCAGGGGATTTCACTGCCTGGTTTTGGCTGTTTTTGTCCCACTGCAGGGTGTTTGGAGCTGGCTATCCCGGGCTGCCCACCATGACTGTGGATGACTGGTACGAGCAACGCCGCAAGCAGGGAATCGTGTCCACCCCACAGAGGGTTCCAGGTATGGAACAGAGGTGGGAACAGGGAGTTTGGGAAACCTCTTGAGGCTGACTATGGAAGAATCCAGGCTTTATTAGGAAAACAGTTGGGTTAGACTGTGCTTGGCCTGTCCAAGGCCAGGTTGGATGGGGCTTGGACCAGCCTGGGATAGTGGAAGGTGTTCCTGGTGGCACTGGATGGGCTCTGAGTTCCCTTCCAACCCAGCCCATTCCAAGGTTCTCACTCCTGCTGTCTTGGCAAGCCCGGCTCCCAGCAGGCATTTGGAGAACTTGGATCTCCTCTTTGTCCCTCCCCTCCAGCAGGTACAAGTGATGAGGAGATGCAGAAGCAGCAGAAGGAGACGGAGGAGGAGGAGGATGATGAGGAAGCTCTTCGGAAAGCTCGGGACTGGGACGACTGGAAGGACACACACCCCCGGGGCTACGGCAACAGGCACAACATGGGCTGATGCTCTGGCTGCCAGCAGGGCCTGGAGATCCTGGGAGAACAACCTGGAGAGGGACAAGGGAATACAGTGTACATAGGTGGAGCATCTGGGAATTCCCTGGATGGACAGGGCACAGGATGGCAGGAGGACATGTGGCCCCTTGCTGTGGTGTGCATTCCATGTCAGACCGGGGGCACTCGTGGTGTTGGGGGGTGCCCCAGAGCTCTGAGGGGCAGCTCCATGAGGGTCAGGCGCCCTCTGCCCTCCCAGGCGGAGGCAGCCTCCAAGGGGAGCTCCATGGATTTGGAAACTGCTCTTTGTATTGTGGGTGGATATATTTATTTTTTTTTTCCTCTCTATTTTAAGCAAAATAAACTCTCTTTGTGCTGTCTGGTTCTTGCCATGAAATTCTCTTGCTCTTCATCCTGAACTTTTCCAGGGCATGAACCCTGGATGCCCTCATGGAGCCCACAAGGGACAGAACTGGGACAAATGGTGCCATATTCCAGGACAAAGTAGTCAGTGTGCTTTGAAACCCACTAGTACAATCCCTGAAAAAGGGAAAACTCTCTGAATCCTCTGGCACCATTCCTGAATGAGGGAGGACTGAGCTGGCACAGAGCAGGTGTGTGCAGGAAGGTGAGGAATCACAGCTGGAAGTTCTGGAAATGCCCAGTGTGGGTTGGTAGCTGTGGATGGACTTGTTCCAAACCTGGTAAAATACTGGGGTGGAAAAGCAAACCATGGCTGGCACTTTGTGTCACCTGGAGCAGTGTCACCTCCACGGTGCTTCCTTACCCTGGGACAGTGGGATTCTGTAGCAATCTGGTGGTTTTCCTTCCTGTTAGCAGGATTTGGGCACAGCTGGAGTTGGGATGTTTTCCTTGCAGCAATCCCTGTCCTCAGCACTGATCCACACCCAGGAAAGCCTGCAGGGACTGTGGTCCTTTCTCCCAGGTACTGAGTCCCTACAATTCACAGGAGGGGTTTGTGGGTTCCAGATCTCCCAGGAAACATTTCTTACTTTTCCACCATGATCCTGTGGGTGTGTTTATCCCTCTCCTACACTGATGTTAGCCAGCACTTCCTAGGAGCCCCTCTGGACAGCTTCAGGGATTTATTCCCTGTGGTTCTCGCTGTTCCTTGGGCTGTTGGCCTGAAGCCCCCCCTCGGTGCTGACTCCCTGCTGCTCCTATTTCCCTTTCTTTTCCATTTTTCCCCTCAAACCTGTCTAGACAGCGCTCCAGGCTCCCTGGGCAGGAGGCAGAGTGCCCATCCTGGGGCTGGGAGCAGCAGCAGTGGTCTGGTGGCTGTGGAGCTCCAGGGTGATATTTTTGGGTGGCTCTGGGGCTGTCACATGGCAGTGTTTGTGACATTCCCCCAGCGTGGACGGTACCATTCCCAGGGGGATGCAGCATTCCCAGAGGAATTCAGCCCCTGCCAGCACCAGCAGCCGGGACTTTCCAAGGAACAGCAACTTCCCAGCACAGCCCCAGTGCCTCACCCTCTGTGTGACCCTTCCAGGCACCAGCAGTTGCTCTCCATGCTCTTAATCCCAGCTGGAGCAGGTCCCCTCCCCTGAGCAGGGCCGGAGTCCCTTGGGTCACCTGGTTAAAGCCTCTGGACACACAGCCCGGCGCCCTCTGATTGCCAAACTCACCTTTCCACCCACAGCACTACGGAGCTCCTGCCACCATGAAAACCATCATAGCAGCCTGCTCCCAGAACCTCAGTGGTAAGAGATTCCCAAAAATTGTTTGGATGGCTCCTGGTTCTCCAGCAGTGCCAGGAGCTGGTGGTTGTCTCCCTTGTCTGCTTGCTTGGGAGTGCTGAGGAGAAAAGGGGTGTTGGGAGCAATTAGAGAATAACTCCACAGGAAAACGCACTGTTGCTCAACAGGGATGAAATTTTGGATGGCTTTGGGAGTGTTACACACAAGATGCTCCTGGAAATTCCAAATGCTGGGTTTGCAGAGGCTCCTGTCGCTGTGGATGGGGCTGACAGCAGAGCCCTGTGGGGTTCTCTGTGTCTGTGGTGTGGACATTCATGGGGTTTTCTGAATAGGAGCTATGAAAATTAAAAAGCAACAGTTTGGTGGGCACAAATTTGCTGGGAAGGGCTCTGTGTCTTCCCTGGGAAAAAGACCCTGGGTTCTGCAGGTGGCTGGGATTTGGGGATGTATGGTGGGTGGAAGGGATCACCCAGAGCCCAGCGTGCTGCATGGGAGAAAAGGACAAAAATTTCCAACTGGAAAATTCCCCCATGGGCCAGAGATGGCTCCAGTGTTTAATTTATTTCACTTGTCCCATTCCTGGTTTGGATTGAGCTGGGAAGAACTGAACCTCTGCCAGCCTCCTGAACCAGCGGTTGGTGGCTCTGCTCTGACACAGGGGTCCCTGCCTTGGGAAGCCACAGGGACATGGCTGCTCCTGTGTCCCCCTGATCATCTCTCTGGCCAACATGCAGATTTGGGGTAGTTTTCCCAAGAATCCAAGGCTTTTGTGATGCTGGGGTGGCTCTCTGGGGCGGTCTTGTCCTGGGGACCTTTGACCAGGAGAACTGTGCCGGCACCTCAGGCCCGTTTTAGGGAGAGGGATGGGGCCAGGCCTGGAGTTTGGATCCTGGCTCCCAGCCCGGGGAGGTTAATGGTTCACCAGGACCAGCTGGAGGGAAGGGGTGGCAGGGGGAGTGGAGTGGCTGCGCTGCCACTGTGGGGACAGACTGGGATGGCCACCTCCAGCCGCCCTGGCTTGGCCTTGTTGCTGGCCTTGGCACTTGCTGGGGGTGGTGCCTCCCTGCTGTGCCAGCTGAGAAATCCCCAAATCCCCTCCCCACCAAGGAGGGCACAGGAATGGTCCTGGGAACTGGGCATGGAGTGGGATGTGTCATGGCTCTCAGCCCTGCTGGTGCACGGAACTTTTGGGTTTGGGGGTGCCCAGTGCTCCCCGCTCTGGGGACAGCCCTGATTGTCCAGGGCCACCTCCTGGCATGGTCCAGATCTTCCTGAGGATGCTCCTCCATTCCACCCCCCACACCCCATCCCTCCTCCCCCAGCTGCTCATCCTCCCCATCCCCATCCCCATCCCGCCGGCAGCCCGGTGGCCCCGCCCGCTTACGAGCCGCGCTGTTTCGGGCGGGGGCCGTGTCCCCCTCTCCGCAGGCAGCCGGGCCAGCATCCAGACCGCCCTGAGGACGCTGCTGGCCGTGCCCTGGCCCTCGCAGCGCGACATCGGCTCCGCGCTCCAGCTGCTGGCCGTGCTGCAGTGGGTGCTCAGCTTCCTGCTGCTGGGTGAGTGAGTAGGGGGCTGCCAGGGGTCCCGGGGGGCCGCACAGCCGCTCACCCCCTGCCCGGCTCCCACAGGAATCGTCAGCCTCCTGCTCCTCATCTACCTGCTGTTCACCAGCCTCTGGCTCATCCCCGTGCTCTACCTGGCCTGGATCATCTTCGACTGGGACACGCCGGAGAAAGGTGTGCTGGCCGTGTCCCCGCTTCCTCCAGCTTTGCAGCAGGATGGGAGAGGGGTTCCCCTTTCAGGTGTCTCCCAGAATTTGGAGAACACCACAACCCCCTGCTCCTTCCCTCCACTCCTCCATCATCAGCACCGCTGTGGGAAGGGGGATGCAGCGGGTCCGGGGGAGCGTTTCTCTTGGATCGGGCTGGGCTGGGCTGGGCGACATCTTCTGGGGCCCCTCTCGGCTTTGCAGGTGGCAGGAGGCTGTCGTGCCTGCGGCGATGGACCGTGTGGAAGCACTTTCGGGATTATTTCCCGGTGAAGGTACGGCGCTGGGACGAGGTGGGACCACCCAAAAGGAGATGCCACCGTCACGTTCCCGTGACTCCTTTTGTCCCCGCAGCTGGTGAAGACCCACGACCTGTCCCCCAGCCACAACTACATCATCGGCTCGCACCCCCACGGCATCCTCTGCGTCGGCGCCTTCTGCAACTTCATCACGGGCTCCACGGGCTTCGAGGAGCTGTTCCCGGGCATCCGCTCCTTCCTCACCACGCTGGCCGGGAATTTCCGCCTGCCCTTGTTCCGGGAGTACCTGATGAGTGGCGGTGAGCGGTGCCCACCCTGCCCGGCTCCTGATCCCTCCTGAAACGCGGGAGGGATGGCGCTCCTGGGAAGAGGCAGGGCAGGGATGCTGCTCTGCTTGCGCTGTGCCTGAGCGGCGGCTTCACCTCGCAGCTCTCCCACACCTTGCCCACGCCCTGCCTGAGCTGCACCTTCACCCTGCTCGCACCCTGCCCGCACCTTGCTACACCCTGTCGGGACCGCTCCTCCGCCTTGCCCGCTGCTTGTCCACACCCTGCGAGTTCCCTCCGCCCTGACTGCCCCACGCTGCCCTCACCGCTCCCTGCCCGCACCTTTCCCAGCTCTGCCCTCTCCTTGCCCGCTCCCTGCCCGCTCCCTGCCCGCACCTTTCCCAGCTCTGCCCTCTCCCTGCCCGCTCCCTGCCCGCTCCCTGCCCGCTCCCTGCCCGCTCCCTGCCCGCACCTTTCCCAGCCCTGCCCGCAGCAGAGGGAGCCCTTGTACCGTCCCTGCCCTGGTCCCGCCAGGCGCCATCGCTCGGGGGGACCCTCGGCGGTGCCTGCCGGGTGTCCGGGCGCTGCAGTGCCACATCCCCGGTGTCCCGTCCCGCCGCAGGGCTGTTCCCGGTGACCCGCCGTGCCATCGGGTACCTGCTGTCCCAGCAAGGCACGGGCAACGCGGTGGCCATCGTCATCGGCGGCGCGGCCGAGTCGCTGTCCTGCCGGCCCGGTGTCACCACGCTCATCCTCAAGAACCGCAAGGGCTTCGTGCGCATGGCCCTGCGCCACGGGTGGGTCACGGCTGGGACACTGACACTGGCACTGCCACCCCGCGGGTCCCGGCGGTGCCCAGCGCCCGTCACCACCCACCGTGTTCCCTCCCTCCCTCCTCAGGGCTTTCCTCGTCCCCTCCTTCTCCTTTGGCGAGAACGACCTCTTCCGCCAGGTGGTCTTTGAGGAGGGCAGCTGGATGAGGAGCATCCAGCGGCGCTTCCAGAAGATGATGGGCTTCGCTCCCTGCCTGTTCTACGGCCGCGGCCTCACCTCCCGCCGCTCCCGCGGCTTCCTGCCCTACGCCAGACCCATCACCACCGTGGGTGAGCACTGGGGCTGGGGGGACAGGGGAGCCACCTCCTGGGCTGTGTCCCCAGCGAGCCGGCCACCAGGCTGACCCCATCCCCTGCCGGCAGTGGGGGAGCCGCTGGCCGTGCCCAAGGTGGAGAACCCGAGCCGGGAGCTGGTGGATCGGTACCACGAGCTCTACATACGCGCCCTGCTCAAGCTCTTCAACGAGAACAAGACCAAGTACGGGCTGTCCGAGTCAGACGAGCTGCACATCCTCTGAGCGCCGCCAGCACCGGCCCCGTCCTGGCTCCTGAGGGCTCTTGCAGGGGGAATTTCAGCCAGCCTGGCATGGGGGACATGCGGGGGACAGTCCCCGCTCTGGCCTGCTGGTCCTCCAGCCTGAGGGGGAGGTGGGAGGAGAGGGGGAAGCGAGGGGAGGACTGGGAAAGGCTCCCCCTGGCAGGGGGTTTGGGGGGGCTGTGGGTGACACAGCTGCTCCCTGCAAGGGGCTGGAGAGGGGCTGGGGCCAGCCGTGGGCACGGTCCCCTGGGGTAACCAGGTCCCCACAAGCTGAGGGAGGGGTGTCATGGGAGGAGGGACTGACGTGGGGTTTTTGGGGTGGCATCCTGATAACCAGTGGGACCAGCCTGGGGCACAGCCCACCCTGGGATGGAAGGGGGACAATCCTGGACTTGGGGACCTGTGGATGTGTCCTGAGCCAGGACCATGTGGCCCCAGATGAGCCTTTCCTGCCATCTCCATACCCAATACAGATTTTGAACCTCCCAATGCCTGTCTGTGTGCGTTCCAGAGGTTGGGATTGGCAGCATGGTGGCAGTACCCTGCACTGCCCATCTGGGTGCCCTTGCCACCCAGTGTGTCCCCTCCCTGGCAGTCCCACCTCCAGCTGGGGCAGTGTTTGGCAGGGCCCTCACACCACTCAGGTGCAGCCAAGCAGCTCCCAGGTGCACCTGAGCCACATTGAATATAATGGGAGGTGAGGGGCAGCTCTTACTGGTTTAACTGGGCTCAGGAGGGATGTCTCCTGCTCTCTCTGCTCTTGGCTCAGTGGTGAGTGAGGGTCTCTCTGGGTGGGGCTGGGATGGGCCATCCCTGGGGCCATCTCCTCCATCTCCTTCATCTCCTTCATCTCCTTCCCCTGGGCAGCTCCTGTGGGACGTGGCTGTGTGTGACTGGTGTGGTGGCTGTGTGTGACACCCCAGTGACACTCTGGGCACCCCTTTCTTAGGCGTGTGCTGGAAGGATTTGCAGGGGCTGATGGAGACAGGGACTTGCAGGGATTCCTGGGGCTCTTGGAGTGGGGACAGCCCTGTCCCTGTCCCATTCCTGCCAGGCTGGCGTGGGAGAGTCAATAGCACTGATACCAATCTCAGTGCGCTGCTCTGCGCAGGCACTTGGTCAAACAAAAGGGCTGGGTAAACATTTGAGGAGCAAACACCCATAAAGGGAAATTCCCAAGAACCTTCCTGTCACCACGGGAGCTCCAGCTCATCCCCCCAGAGCTGCCCCAGTGGATTTTCTCTGGGGTGAGGATGATTGTCTTGTCCCTCTTCCTTCTGCTGCAGGGAGAAACAGGCCTGAGTGTAGAGAGGGGAAGGGGCTTTATTGGGGGTCATGGGCAGCAAGTGCCCCAGGCCATGTCCCTCCCCTCTGCCACGGCCAGCAGTGTGACAGAGACATCTCTGAGAACCCGCCCAGCCTGGGCTCTGTCCCCAGGTTCAGTCTGGTCCCTGCATGTCGCCTCTGAGTCACCTGCAAGAGCTGTGCCGGCCCAGGGAGGCACCAGTGTCAATTCTCTGTAGTGATTTGTCAGCCCCATGTGTCCCCAGGAGTCCAAGGATGGAACACCAGCCTGCTGCCCCAAAAGAGCCTCCTCAGTGTCCTCCCCATTCCCATGAGTGCTGGGTGGCTCTCCTGCCCTGTCCAGCACCAGCACCCTCCTCCCACAGTCTCACAGGGCAAGACTGGGCAGGGACAGCTCAGAGCTGGGCACTTGTGAGTGCCTTGAGGGGCTGCAGCTCCTGGAGCCCGGAGCTGAGGCTGCAAACCCCCTCAGCACCCACCCCCACTGCGTGCTGTCCCTGTCCCTCGGGTGACACCGGCCACGTGGCTGTCGTCCGTGAGGCTGTCTGCAAAGGGTGACACCAGGGCCAGGTCCAGCGTGGGCATGGGCCGGAGGCGCTGGGCGGCCCCGCGGCGCAGCCGGCCCCGGTACTTGTCCCCGGCCATGAAGTACAGGATGGGGTCCAGGCAGCTGTTGATGCTGGCCAGCGGCCGCGTGATCTTGTAGCTGAAGTTGATGATGTTGAGGGTCCTGCAGTCAGCCTGGAAGTAGCGGGAGGTGTAGTAGAGGGTGCGGGTGATGTGGAAGGGCACGAAGCAGATGGCGAAGACGGCCAGCACCACGATGATCATCTTGATGGAGCGCCTCTTGTAGGAGGGCATGCGGAGGCCGGGGCTGGAGAAGCTGGGCTTGCAGAGCCGCTTGGCCATCAGGCAGTAGCACAGCACGATGACCAGGAAGGGCACCCCGAAGAGCAGGGCCATGATGGAGGAGCTGTAGTGCACGTAGTGGTCGAACTCCTCGGGCTTGGTGGTGTCGTGGCACAGGGTGGTGTTGCCCTTGGAGCTGGTGGTGACGAAGATGAGGTTGGGGATGAGGCAGATGATGACCACGAGCCAGGCGGCCATGCAGATGATGCGGGCGTGCTTGGTCTTCACCCACTTGAGGGAGCGGATGGGGTGGCAGATGCCCATGTAGCGGTGCATGCTGATGCAGGTGAGGAAGAGGATGCTGCTGTAGAGGTTGGCGTAGAAGAGGAAGCGCACGATCTTGCACAGCCCCGTCCCAAAGGGCCAATTGTTGCGGTCGGCGTAATAATAGACCAGGGTGGGCAGGGACAGGACGTAGAGTGTGTCCGAGAGGGCCAGGTTGACCATGTAGGTGGTGGTGGCATTCCAGGGCCTCATCCTGGAGATGAACATCCACAGGGCCCAGGAGTTGAGGGGCAGCCCCACCACGAAGACGATGCTGTAGGAGACGGGCAGCAGGATGAACTTGAACTCCTCGTTGAAGACACACTTAGCCTCGGGTGCTGCTGTGCTGTTCCCCCCTGGCCAGGGAGCCGGCGTCAGTGTCCTCGGGGGAACCGGGAACATCCTCACCGGAGTGGCCATGGTGTGCCAGCCAGACCTAGGGAGCAGTTCACAAAGCACGCTAGTCACTGATCCCGACCATTGTCAGGCACAAAGCGTGGAAAGGAGCCAAAGCTGCCAGATTCTCTGCCCCTCCAGGAGCTCCGGCCACTTTGATGGTTCTCTGGTTTTTCTCAACTCGCGCGGGGGGAGCGGGCTCGGCAAAGCCTCCCCTGGGCTGACCCTCATTAATCAACCATTAATCACCCATTAATTACCCCTTTGAGTTGGCGCACGGACGGCAGAGCTGCGCGGAGCCGGGAGCGGGCAGGCGACAAAGCCCCGCGCCGGGGACAGAGCCCCGCACCGGGGAGAGAGCACCAAGCCGGGGAGAGAGCCCCGCACCGGGGACAGAGCCCCTCCGGGCACAGCCCCACGGCCCCATCGAACAATGAGACCCCGATGAACACCAGCAGCCCCCGGCCGGGGCCGGCGCAGCCTCTTGGAAGCTGCCTCAGCCTAATTGGCACCATCCTGACAATGCCGCTGCTCCCGGAGGGCTCCTCGGGAGAAGAAAGGCGGGAGGAGAAGAAAGGCTGGTCTGGGGGAATGTTGTGGCCCAGGGAAATCCTGGGGGGGCTGTTAAAGGAGCCTTTGGGAGAGAGTGTCCCTGCACAGCGAGGAGCCGCTGGCTGCCGGGTTTGTCCGTAGGGAAGGATGAGCTGAGCCCTGTGGAGAGGAGCTGCCAGAGCCAAGTCCCAGCTGAAGGCAGGCAGGATCCTCCTGGCTGTGCTGGGATCAAAGGCTGGGATCTGTGAACTCCTGGGAAGTCTGAAGGAGGATAAGCTGTCAAAGTTCAGAGCTCTCTTCTCGAGGGAAAAGGAAGGATCTGCCACCTCCGTGGTGTCCAGCAGAGGATTGGTGAGGGCTGCCTGGGACTGCCCCTTTACACCCTCCACCATCCCTGGTGAAACGACTCCTCCAAGAGAGGATGGATGCTTGGATGAGCAACCTGGGAGCAGGAGTGCTGCGCTGCTGGCAGAGATCAGGGTGTAGCCAAAACCATGTTTGATAGAGGGAATGTGGGAGTATCTCCAATTCCCTTTTGTCCAGAACTCACCCAGGAGGTGACAGGCACCAAGACAGGGGAGGACTCAGGGCTCAGGGATGCCCTTTAGCTGGAGCTGGTGCTGCAAGGTGGAAGGACACATCCTCTGAGGTTCCTTCATCCCTTGGCTCCCTCATCATCCCCTCCTGTTCCCCTTTGCCCTGAGGATGTGCGGGCTCCTCCCGGCAGGAATATCTTTGGGGTGTCTCTGTGGGCTCATCCCTGCCACGCCCTGCCTGCAGAGACACCTGGGCTTGACAGAGATGCCCATAAATGACTCAGCAGGCAGATGGGACAGCAGGGCCCCTCCAGCCCTGCTCCCGGGGCTCTGTTTGAGTTGCGGGCTGAGCTCCCGGCCCACATCCAACACCCAGCGGCTCCTGGCCCGCCACAGCTCCCGCCTTTATTGCAGGGATGAGTTCAGAGAGCAACAGGCAGGTCCTGATCAAACATTAACAGTGGGGAGAACTTGGTTTGTTTTCTCAGGAAAACAGGTGGTAGAAAAGCTGAGCTTGCCAGCAGGTGCCAGTGGTGGTCCTGGCCTGGCAGCCACGTGTCCCCAAGCTGCTGAGGACATGAGGGACCAGGAGATTTTGTTTCTTCTTCCAAACTCTGGGTGCAAGGGAACACAAAGCTTTGAGGCTGACCAGAGCAGAGCTGCTGCAGGATCAGGGTTCGTGACACAGGTCACCAACCAATTCAGATATGGAGAAGACAGTACATAAAAGTTAATAATCAAGTGTGAAAAATGCATGAGGAAAAATCCTGAGCAGCTGTGGACTGCTGGACTGCTCAGAGGAGAGCACAGGCACCCGGCTTCTGCCAGCTGACACAGCCTGAGCGCAGTCAGCAGTGGGATTTAACCATTCCCAAGCACATTCCTTTGAGGATAACCACCAAAAATAGAAATGCAGAAGAAGATGACATTTGGCAAGTTATATCTTAACAAGTTTCTTGCTTCCTTATCTTAGTCACGACCAAAATCAGTGATTGAAATTAATGAATCAGATTGGTCTAGCCTGAGGACACATCACCACGAGCCCCATTCCTATTTCTTGCTGACATTCCTAGCAGAACTATCCTTGGCTGTGGGCTTTGGAGGAGAAATCGAGGTTGGGACTGATTGTTGGAGCAGGAGATGGAAGGCACTGCAGGGGAAGGATGCGGAGCTGGGAGATGGAAGGTCCTGCAGGAAAAGGAATCGGAGCAGGGAGATGGAAGGTGCTGCAGTGAGAGGAATTGGAGCAGGGAGATGGAAGGTGCTGCAGGGAGATGGAAGGTGCTGCAGGAAGAGGTGGTGCTCTTGTTCTGTCTGATTTGTGGATGTACAAGGAACGCTGCAGAACCCCTTTTCCATGGCAGGCACATCCCCCAGGGATGGTGTCTTTGGAGTAGTTTTCCCCAGGAAGCAGCAAGGGGGGTCCTGGAAAAGGCAGCAATGGTCATGGGCCAGTGGGAAGGGGCAGGGCCAGCTGTGTGACACACATTGAGGGCACACTATGCTCTTGGCCTCAGGATTGGCAGCTTTTCCCTGAATCCTGGTCCTGCAGATGTTCCCAGCCAGAACTGTTCTTTGGCCCCGCTGGCAGCACCAGTCCTGGTGGGATCTGAGGGCTCCCCCAGCCCTGGGGATTCAGGGAGGTGTTGGAAAGGCTCCAGAAAAATGGAGGAGTGGGGCAACACCAGAGCAGAACCTGCCCTGGAGCCAAAGTCCTGCTGGTGGGACCAGATGGTAATGGTGGTGCTGGGACCATGGAGCAGCAGCAGGAGCTCGGAGAGGGGAGGTCAGAGCGGATTTTGGAGCTGCTGCCAAGAGATGGGTGAGCCTGGACCGGCTGCTACTGGAGCATGGGAAAAGCAGGGCTTTTCTCCTCGCCTAAGCCCTTGGAAATTGCAAAAGGAGAAATTATGCAAAACATCCTGCAGAAGGACCCTTGTCCCTAATCGCCGCGTGGTTGGTGCAGCCAAAGCCCCGGCACAAGGGGATGTGACCCAATTCCAATCCTTCCCCTCGCCTGCAAGAGCAGCCAAGGCACGCTCTGTCCCTGGGGACACCAGCAGGGTCGGGCGTTTCCCTCGCTGTCCACCCCGTCCCCTGGCCCGAGCTGACCCTGGCAGGGTGGGGGTGAGGGGTGAGGGTGAGGGTTCCCTTCCAGCCTTGCTGGGCTGGCCCTGTCCCCAGCCACTGTGTTGGGCTGAGCCACGGCAGCACCAGCGCAGCTCCAACACATGATGAGACAGATTTGGGGGATGGAGAGGAGGATGAAGGAGAGGAGGGGGACACACTGGGATGGATGAAGGCTCTCCGTGACAGAGGAAAGAGGTGGCATGTTAGAGAGGAGGGGGTACAGAGGGATTTGGGGGGCTGGTGAGCAGTGGCTGACGTCCACCCTGCACCCCCCCAGCCCTGCAGGTCCCATCTCTGTTCCTCAGCCCAGAGCCCAGCTGGGACCTCGTGACAAGGCAGGGCTGTCGCTCCCGGCTGTCACCGAACAGGGGCTGTCCCGGCTCACCTGCAGACCTGGGCGGCTCTCAGGAGTGGGGCCCCCACGGGGAGAGCCTGTTCCCCACGCGGGACGGGGCCATGCCGGGGGCTGTGGGTGGCTCTGGCCGTGCCGTGCCGTGCCGTGCCGAGTGTGCCCTCTCCGCTTCCCACGGCCGGGAGCAAAGTGCCCAGGGAAGGCAGGGCTGGAGGCGGGCAGAGGCGGAGGCAGGAGCTGCCGCAGGGCTCAGCCCCACTGCGCGCCCATCCCTCTGTTGCCCTCGCAGGCTTTGGGCCACCTGCAGCCCCCGGACACGGGACATGGTGGCCTCTCCTATGCTGTCACAGTCCTTTTACGAGGAAAGGAGAATGCTCCTCCACCACGAGAGCACAGCCCCTCATCCATGGGCACCGTGTGCCCCTCTCCGTGGTGACCACATCCCTCCGCCCATGGGGACCGTGGTCACTCAACCACAAGGTCCATAGTCCCTCTCCCATGGGCTGTGTCCCTCTGCCCGCGGTGACCACGGCCCCTCTGTCATGGAGATCACAGTCCCACAGCCACGAGGGTCGCAGCCCCATCCCTGGGGCCCCTCGCCCGCCCCAGGACAGCCCCGCTGCCCCCGGGCTCCCGCAGTGCCCGCGGCGCTGTTCGCGGGCCCCCGGCCCTGCGGGGTGATCCTGGGGACAAAGGCGGCCACTGCCACCTTGAGGCCAGCCCGGGCATCGTGTCCCCAAACCGGGGCCACCTCGCGCGTGGCACAGCCAGGACACGGCCGGATCCCTGCGTCTTTGAGGGGATGCCTCTCTCCCTGTGCAGGGCAAAGCAGAGCGAGGGGGTCAAGGGTCAAGGGCTGTGACACCCGTCAGCTTTGCCATGGGCAGGGGCAGCCTCGAGGCCTGGGATGTGCAGGATTCCCATGGGATGTGCAGGATTCCCATGGGATGTTCAGGGTTCCCATGGGATGTGCAGGGTTCCTGTGGGACGGGGAGAGCCGTGGGGCAATGCTTTGGTGTTTTCTCCACCTGGCTCGGCATTTTTTCTCCTTGCCCTTCCGCAGAAGCAGGTGAGCAAACACACACCCAGTCCCTGACGCTTTATTCTGGAGAGTGAGAGCAAAGGGAAGCGGCGCAGCGGCCTGGGGAGCTGTGCTGGAGGGAAATTCCTCCGGGAACATTGAGGGAGGAGGGGGCAGCTCCGAGGGCACCGGGATACACGGGGCACAGCTGTCGCTACATCCTGGCCGGCTGCGGCTCGGCGGGAGGAGCGGGCTGAGCCTCCAGGTCCAAGGCACCGAGCGCTCCCCGCTTCCCCAGCGGCCTCGGCGCCTCCCGGTGGGGCCGCGGCGGCGGCTCCAGGCCGTGCTGGGCCTGGCGCGGTGGCAGCTCCTGCCTGTCCCCCCTGCCCTGCGGGGACACCTGGCTCAGGTGAGTGGCCGCACACAGCGAGCA